CTTCAAAGCTCATCCATCCGCTCCAACCCCCTGCAATGAGCAGGGGCATCTTGAGCTAGGATGGTCCCCAAGCAAGGAGGCACCTGGGATGGTCCCCATGGCCAGGGATGGTCCCCAAGCAAGGAGGCACCTGGGATGGTCCCCATGACCAGGGATGGTCCCTAAGCAAGGAGGCACCTGGGATGGTCCCCATGGCCAGGGATGGTTCCTAAGCAAGGAGGCACCTGGGATGGTCCCCATGGCCAGGGATGGTCCCCAAGCAAGGAGGCACCTGGGATGGTCCCCATGGCCAGGGATGGTCCCCAAGCAAGGAGGCACCTGGGATGGTCCCCATGACCAGGGATGGTCCCTAAGCAAGGAGGCACCTGGGATGGTCCCCATGGCCAGGGATGGTCCCCAAGCAAGGAGGCACCTGGGATGGTCCCCATGGCCAGGGATGGTCCCCAAGCAAGGAGGCACCTGGGATGGTCCCCATGGCCAGGGATGGTCCCTAAGCAAGGAGGCACCTGGGATGGTCCCCATGACCAGGGATGGTCCCTGGTCCATGGTCCAAGCACGATGTTGCCCCTCCTGGCACTGAGCTCATCCTTCTCTCCATCACCATCAATATTTGGGCTCCTCATGGAGCCAAACCACGTGGAGGCCTCATCCTGCGTAAACCGAGCGGCACAAATGGCCCTGTTTAAACATTTACATCGACTTCTTCTGTTCCTCACCCGAATATTGGATGTGGAGGGACCTGGAAGAGCCTCTGGAAAGGCCGGGGGGGCTGGGCAGAGGCCGCCCCACTGGCGTGAGGACCTGGACCAGCTCCTTTCCATGGCGCCGCGCTGGGCTCAGATGGGGATGGAAACACTAATGCAATATTGATGTGTCGGGATGCGGGAGCGCGGCTTGGAGCACATTAGCCAAGGAGACCTCCCTGGAATGGTTTATGGCACTGGGGAGGCTGGAGGTGGCTAAATCCCCCCCCCACCTCCATGAGACCCCATGGGGTGAAGCTCAGGGGTGGGGAGGTGGTGGCCGTTCATCCCGGTGGGTATCATCCCGAGGTGGGACGTGCAGGGATGAGCATCCCACCCCGGTGGGCTGGATAACACAGGCTTCGTGGGGAATCTTGGTCCGGGATGGAGCTGTTGGGTCGGCATCACCACGCTCAGATAGGGAGAGGAAAACTGGGGATGAAAGGAGGGGATTTTGGGAAAAAGAGCTAAAAACTGGGCAGGAGCAAAGCGGGGAGGAAGAATGGGTCAAAATCACGGGTTATGGGGAAAACCAGAGGGTTTTGCCAGCAAACATGCCCCGAGTTGTGACTGTTCCTTGCTCCTGGTCCCCTGGGGTAGCGGGACCCTTCCATTCAGCATCACGACACCGTGCTCACGCTCCCGTGTTGCCCACATCCAGCACCAGCACAAGGGGATGCTCAGGGCCCTCCCCGAGGGGTGCAGAGAGCCCGGGGGGGGGAACGGGGGCCGCTGCAGGGGTCGGATGCAGCCGTGTCCCATGGGAGCATCATGCATTAGTAATGGCCACCGATCCGCCAGCGCTGACGCCATTTCTTCCAGCCGGGAGGAACAATCCGGTGTAACCGGAGCCGGAGCGGGCTCAGGTGTCCCCCGGGGTCTTGGGGTCACCAGTGTGGCCCCACCTCGGTGCTTGGAGGTGCATGTCCCTGTGTCCCCCCCCCCTCCCCGGTGGTGGTGTCCCAAGGGATGTGCTGCACCCCACAAAGGTCCCTTTGGGTCCCCTGCAGTGGTTCCTGCCCATGGATGAAGCCGGGATGGGAGGGAAGACCCCGCTCACCCCATGGACCAGAGCCCCCGAGGGCCTGTCCCCATCCATCACAGGGGCTGCGTGGCCATGGGGATGGCACCCAAAGCACTTTGGTGAGGGCAACCAGAGCATGATGGGGGTAGCACCCAAAGCCCCACAGGGATGCCACCCAAAGCCTTGTGATGAGGGCACCCAGAGCCCCTTGGGGATGGCACTCACACCTCCATGGAGATGACACCCAAGGCCTTGTGATGAGGGCAACCAGAGCATGATGGGGGTTAGCACCCAGACCTCTGTGGGGATGAAACCCAGAGCCCCACGGGAATGGTACCCAAAGCCCTTTGGTAAGAGCAACCAGAGCCGGATGGGAGTTGCACCCAAGGCCCTTGGGAATGGCATCCAGACCTCCCTAGGGATGCCACCCAATGCTCTGCGATGAAGGCACCCAGAGGCCCTTGGGCATAGCACCCAGATCTCCATGGGGGGTATCATCCAGAGCCCCTTTGAGATGGCACCCAAAGCCCCTTGGTCATAGCACCCAGATCTCCATGGGGGGTAGCACCCAGAGCCCCTTTGAGATGGCACCCAAAGCCCCTTGGGTATGGCACCCAGAGCTTCACAGGGAAGGTACTTCAGGGATGTCACCTAGGACCCTTTGGGGACGGCACCCAGAGCCCTATGGTGGTAGCATCCAGACTCTCTTGGGGATGGCACCCAAAGCCCCTTGAACACATCACTCATGGGGAAGGTAACCAGAGCCCCACAGTGACAGCACCCAAACCCCCACGGGGAAGGGTGCTTGGAGCCCTGTGAGATGGCACCCAGCGCCTGGTGGTCCCTTGGGCCCCTGGTGGCTCCCTTGGCTCAGGGCTTTGCCCTTTGGTGCCCTTCAGCATCAACACAAACAGGCCCAGGGGAGGGTGTCTGGGGCAGCGGGCACCCAGGGGACAAGGGGCAGAGCAGCGATAGGGCCGCTGCAGAGGGCACCCAGAGCCGGGTTAGGGTTAGGGTGCGGTGGGGCACGGGTGCCACCTGCTGGGCAGAGGGGGCAGCGCCACCCCGCGCCGGCTCCGAGAGCCCCCTGCGAGAGGAGGATGCAGCGATGGAGGTTTCACCCTCCATGGGGTGCCGTCCTGCTCCCTCCCCGTAGCCATGGTGACCCCAGGGGGTCCCCATCCCCTGGCCCCAGCATCCCCGGGGTGGATGCTGGCAGCAGATGGCACCGGCACCGCCCTGTCCCCAGGCTGGGTGCAGTGGGGACAAACGGCCCTAGACGGGGAGGAGGATGGGGACGAGGCCCATGGCAGGGCGCTGGCCCCTTCCCTCCAGCTCGGGGGTCCTTGGGCTGCTCGCACTGCCCGTGTATCCGTGATCCCAATCCCCAGCAGCATCGAGCCAAAAGGATGCGTGATCACACGGGAAGCAGGCACCCCAGACACAGCTCCCACGACTGCAGTGCTCCCTGCAATGGCTTGTCCTGCTGCATGGGAGACCATGGGTGGAGGATGGATGCTCATGGATGAGCTGGTCCCTCATCCCCAGCCCGACACCCTAACACTCAGCTCTGGTGCCAGGGCCATGGGGATGGGGCACGGAAGGGCAGCACCCGGTTGCTTGCACATGGCTGGAGAAGGAGCTGGTTACTACAAGCTCCACACTGGGTGTGCACAACCACCTCTACTCCCATCTCCAGGCAGAAGGCAGGCTTCAAGTGGGAATTCACGGGCCATGGGGTGCAGAGTCAATGCCATGAGGTCCAGGGTCTCCCCTGCAAGCCCCAGTGACCAAACACCAGGCACGTGTCAGGGTATAGACGTGTTTTACACAGCAAAGGGTTACAGGTCTTCCACTGTACACTGCTGCTGGGGGTTATCCTCTGATGGGGTCAGGGCAGCCGCGGGGCCCACGCTGCAGGAGTGACACAAGAGAAAGGGGGTGAAAGAGGTGCCAAAGGGCAAAACACCCCGAATCTCTTCAAGTATCACCCAATGGGTCCCAAGCACAGGCAGGGAACCCATGGCCATTGCTCTGCTGGTGGCAGCCTAGGGAAGCACCAGCAGGACTTGGGTGAGAAGGGTGAAAGGAGGATGAACTAGAAGAGGAAGTCATCAAACAGCTCCCTGATGGGCACTGGGGAGGGTCCCTGCTGATGGGGGACACGCAGCAAACGGGGTGGAAGGGGAGCACTGTCTCTATGGCCTGTGTTAAGCGATGGGTTGGAGCTCAACCATAGACACACAGTGGGATGACGGCTCCAGCCCTGCACACCAGCATCCACCAAACCAACCTCGACCTCGGCACAGCCCCGAAGCACCAGTTCCCACCACTGAGGGCGCTCAGTTCTTCATGGCACCCACAAACCTCAGTGCCAACAGAGAGATGACAGGAACAGAAGCCAAAGGCTGTTTCCACCCAGCACCAAGGGGCTGGGACAAGCTTTGGTAGCAGGGAACTCAACCTGGGATCCATCATAGGCTGCTGAGAAATTCCCATCGCCCGGATAGGGCACAGGGTGACACCAACACTGTTGTCTGAAGGAGAAAACCCCCCAAATGACCCAAAAGAGCTGCAGCAGGGCTCCACCTTCCCTTCCAGGCTATGTGAGTGCAGATGGAGTTACAACCAAGGGAGTTTCTTTTGGGAGAAAGGCGATTTGGGAATAAAAGAGGTGGGAAGTGATGGAGAAGCTGTGCTCCCACCTTGCAACATGAAGCCCACTCCACATCATTCCCTAAAAACACCTTACATCCAGGACCGACATCCTCCACAAGCAGCATTTGGGTAGCTGGGATTTCTCCAGTGTTTCCAGCACTTGGGAATGTTGGGAAGAGCTGGGATATGTGGTTTTTCTGGCTCTGGATCTATTGAGCCCCCAGTCCACAGTGCTTGGACAAGCTCAATGATCCCTGCTGCATCTCTGCACCCAGAGCAGGAATCCTGGCAAAGCTGCAGTGTTCCTGGTGGGTTTATTTTGGAGCATGGATATCCCAAGAGGAAGTGGGTAATTCCATGTTAGGGGATGGAACGCTGCTGTAGGGTGGCTGATGTGCCCACACTACAGCATCACCACAAGCACAAGAGGATAGAAGGAAGCTCAAAGAGGTGCCAAAGGGCAAAACACCCCAGCATCAATTCAAGCATCACCTCATAGGTCCCACACATGCCATGGGGAAGCACAACCTGAAAGGGGGGGGGGGAGGTAATTAGAACACTGTTTTTATACAATATTGAAAAAATACAAATTTTTATTGTGATTTTTTGTCCTTTTTAATCTTTGAAACTGCAATCACCACCCAGCACTGAACTCTACTCCTAAGTAGCACCTACAAGTAAAGGTTATAGCACAAGCAAACTGCTAGGGCAGCAGGTAAGCAAGTTAAACAGTGCCAGCAAACCCTGGCCCCTCCCTCCCCAAAGTAATGAGAACAACAGCGTGCTAGATAAGAGTTAAGGACACCATAACATGTTAAATAGTTAATATTACCCTTCCCACAAGCCACAAATGCTAGATAGAAAACTTCAGCACAGTCACTAGCCACAGCCCTAACATTACTGCTTTAAAATCAAAAGGGGAGGGGGGAAATCAAAACCTTTGTTTCATGCCCATCATTAACAGAAAGGATTTGGTTGTAGGGTTTTACTAAGGAAAATCATGCTAAAGCAAAGTGGTACTTTATGAGTTGGTTTTCTTCCCTCCCAACTCCCCCCCCTACCCCAAAGAAAAAGGAATTGATTGTGCTTTATGAAGCAGGAATAGGATTGTGACCTTCCAACCCCGACTTGGTGGCATTCCTAAAGCAAAATCCCAAATAAACCCCCAATCATTCTGGGAGAACGACAAAGGAACAAATGAGACATTCCAGACCCTGCTCCAGAGCTGCTCAGGGTGGGTGGGTTCATTTCTCCATGTTGGTTGCACCACGAATCAAAACACCTTGTCCAAAACAACACCCCCCAGAAGGATACAGCAGGTAACATTCGGCTTTAAAGGAATCCAGCTTCAGTTCCCATCTCCAGTGCACAGTGATCCAAAATCAAGTTACACTGGCATGCCAGGTAGACATTGACTGGATTAGATTTCATAGCATCAAACCAAACACAAATCTCAGCTTGCCGCAGGACACCAGGAGAAACTCAAAACATTCCAAGTGGGAAGCATCCTGGAATAAAGAAGAAAACAACAAACCAAACCCCAAAACAAACCAGAGCAGATTCACTTTTGCTTCCTCAGCGGGTGCTTTTAGGCTCTTTTATTCATCTCAATTATCTTTCTAGATCATATTCTTTTGTTAACTCTTAAAGGAACTTTAATCCTGTTGTACACACACAAGCAGATGGCTACCAAGCTGGTGCAGAAGGGGGAGGCAAAAAGGAAAACAGAAACCAGTGCCGATGGATTCGTGGACTACAGCCAATGGGGCCAATCGTCGTGGATCCAAAGCTCTCAGCCAGGCTAATCCATCTGGTCAGAGGACCCTCTCTTAGGAGATGGAGAGTGCTTGTGAGGTGTTTAACCATACTTCAAGCAAGAGAAAGAAAATAAACCAACCAACCCCCCCCCCCCCTTCCCCAAAAGAAAAAGCAATCTCGAAGCCATTAAAGGGCAGCAGTTCCAAAACTCTGACAAAGGAAGAGTTTTGACTTCAGATGTGCTCCAGCTAAATCAAAGCACTGTTCAGAGAGCATCACTTGTGGTTTGTGTTGTTCTTTCTTTCTTTTCTTCCTCCCACAAAGGGAACGGCTGGTAATCCACACCAAGGAAGTGAGGAACATCCACACGAAAGGCTTTCAGAAGTCCCCAAAAAGCAAACAGATCAGTGGTTGTCAGTCCCTACAGTTCAGAAGGGCAGGCAGGAGTCCACATAGGAAAAAACAGCCTTCAAATCCAAGTCAACTTAGTTCAAGCTTCAATGCTCTCAATAGCTCCATGCATTTGTATTCTCTCTGATTGGGTTTTTAATGTGACTTCCATGTGAAACAGGATCAGCAAGGTTGACCTGAAGGAGCACCTTTGATTCCACTGTCTGATCTACACGCTTAAGTGTATCATCCCCCAGACTTTAGGCTTTGAGACAATGCTGCTCCACGTTAGCATCCAAGGTGGTGTCTTTGGAAACCTCTGATAAAGAAAGCAAACATCTCTTTTGACTAACTCCCTACCTACCAGGGCAGCTGTTTTAGCTGACAGTTTAGTAGCACACAAGTTGACTTGGCCAAATGGAATCTGAATGCATGCATTCGGGCTGCATATTGCTACCAAAATGGAATGTGGGAATATGCTATGCACCTCGGGTTCGAGAAATGACCAAGAAAATCAAGATCTAAAGGGTGATATATATATCTCAATGCTATTATTCATAAAAACCTTGTTTAGTAATAAAAAAAATTGCTTTGTTTAAATATGAATATTATAGTCTGCTTCTTATGGTTAGGAAATTAAGAGTCTCTCCAAAAATCAGGTTGCCTCTTTTACTACAACTCCATATCCTGAGCCTCATCTTCCGAGAAGTCAGACATGGAGCTCTCGGATGAGCTATCCCCGGTGCCTTCTTCCTGTTCTTTTAGTGCTTCTTCTGTTGCATATTTCTGAATGTATTCTGTGTGTGACAGAAGAGAAAAAACACAGTAAGCAGCATGCATCCAACAGTCAGGGGATGAGAGAACTATGACCAACAGCTGGGCTGGGGCGCATCGTGTTTGACAGGTCACAGATTCCCGTATTTCTCAGACCAAAAGCAGCACAACAACATGTGAAAACAGCTGATGGAGACCTTAAAGACATGCAAGACCCTTGAGAACAAGTACGATCCCAAAGCCCCTACATCAGCATCGTGTGTAATTGTAGCTAGACACAACCTAAGTCCTCCCTGGGATGGTGTTATCTCACGTAACAGCATTCGATTTACTGCCAAAACAGGCGCCTGCAAAGGGGACCTACAGAACAAGCCTAAAAGCCAGCAAGGTGTCACTGTAGAGCCTGACTTTCAGACGTGAGTATCTGAGGGTTTAAACTGATAGGGCAGAGCAACCATCATTGAAACCAAGCTGAGAGCCAGACTAAGCTTCCAGACTAAAGCCTGCATAAGCAGAGCGTAAAGGATGGACACAGAAAGCAGAGATGATGTCTAATGCAGGAATAGCTGCATTTATTTATTTAGCCCCAAAATAAACATGCCTCTGCCCCAGGCTCTGTTTTCAAAGCACAACTCTTGCAACCTGCTTCACATCAGAGAGCAGCAATAGGATTAGCTGAGAAGAACCCACAGGGAACAGGGGCCACCTCACTGCAGGTGACCCATGGAAACCATGTTTCACAGCAGGGTCTAAACCACACTGGCTCTGGGCACCCACATCAACGCCTTGAACTCCAGCCAGGAGCAAGCAGGAAGCTGTACAGCAAGCAGGGAAACTGGTTTACTGGGATTCCTGAAGCAGGCAAAGGAACTGCTGCCAAGTGTGGCTTGTGTGGTCACCTCTGTGCAGAGGAACAGAACAAAGAGGCACCATAAAGTGGGTCAGGTCAGAGTGAATCTGGCAATCCCCTTCCTCCCTTTGTGGCTGCAGGAAGCTCCCAGTGTCCCCTCTGAGATCCAAGGAGGGGCTGGGGATCCCACCTTGAGCAGAGAAAGCCTGTTTCTTACACACATGCAGGCCTGCAGAATGAAGCAAGGGTGAAAACCTGGCACAAAACTGGACTCACTGGGGAAAAAGGGAAGACCACCAGCCCTTGAGAATAGAGCCCCTGCATGGAAATGTCAATGTCACATCCCACCGCCAGCCCAGCAGCCATCTCAGCTGTATGCTCTTTAATTCCTCCCAGGGAATGAGGTCCACAAGGAGCAAGCACCTCTCCTCCAGGAGCACAGATCACTGTGCTTTTCATTCCCCACTGCATCAGCGCGTGGATGCACTGGCAAAGCTGCAGGAGGGTATAGCTAATGCCAGATAACCAAGTGCTACAACACAGGCTTTAAAGGCTGCACGTTGCACAGCCTAAAGCTGTCCCTCCTTCCCCCTGCACTTCCATCCTTCAGCCTACTGGATACTCTCCAATAGGTCTGCATCACTGTGGAGTTTTCCCCCATTTCTAGAGCTGATGTAAGGACTTGGAGCCTAAAAGTGTTAATCCAGCTTCAGGAGCATAGCATGGCCAAAGCAACCCAAAGGCAGCACTTTGTGGAGGAGCTCCCAGGATGCAGCAGCTGGTGGCCTTGGCAGAGCCACTCCACCCTGGGAAAGCTGGAAGGTGCCTTCTGAGCTTCAGCTTCTCCATCTGCTGACACACTTGGCCTTGGTCAGAGTGGTTCACCTACACGATTGACCTGCTCACTCCAACCACAGAAACAGCTGCTCAAATTTGGCTTCCAAGAACTTGTTAAGAGCTGATAAAACACTGAAGGCAGCTATGTAAACACTGGGGAGCATGGAATGCTCAAGGTCTTGGATTGCTCTCAGGCTGCAATGTAGTATCAAACACAAAAGCACCTCTGTGCTCCATCCTCAGGTTCTGGCCACTGAGAACCCCTTTGGAAGGTGCTGCCTGTGTCACCGTTGAGCCTGACCCCATCTCCTGCCTGTACTGGAGAACAGAAGTTGCAGAGTGTGAGGCAGGAAACATCTGCCAAGAGCTGGATACTGCAAGGCTGAGAGGAAGTGGAGTGACAGACCCAACGGTTTAAAGATGAGAGGGAGCAACTGAAGGAGGCACCCCAAAAGGCAGCATGCCTTGGGTGATATGGTTTAGAGCAAGCTGTCCCTGCCCATAGCAGGGGGGTTGGAACTTGATGATCTTAAGGTCCTTTCCAACCCTAACTATTCTATGATTCTATGTCTTCAGAGAATGTACATGGGAAGCTGGGTTGGCAGTAGGTGACAAGCAGAGCTAAGGAGATGGGATGCTGAGATGACATATCCTTGTAGAGGCTACTCCCTTCCCACAGTTTGCCAATTTTCCCTCTGGAAAAGGGCTGGTTACCCAGAGAAGTTGTTATTCCTTGCACAGTAAAGCAAAGAGAACCCAAGTGCCTTTGCTGTAAGACTCTAGATGTCCTTAGATGACAAAGACAAACCCCTTAGTGGGAACCTTCCCTGTATGTTTACCCCAAAGGCACCGAAACAAATGCTGTAGCTGCCTTGTGAGCCCCCAGACACATCAGACACAGCCATGACGTTGGCACAAGAGGCTTCTTCACTGACTGCTTCACGTGCTCTCTGGGCCACTGGAGATTTGGCCATGGAAGCCACTATCTCTGTTGGAAAAGGCCTGCTTGAACCTAAGCTAAACCACAACCTGAAGCACTTTAAAAGTGCCATCTTCTACCCAGGAAAGCAACAAGCTCCTGGGCTGGGTGTTTTTTTACAAGGTTTAGAGTGGGAAACACCAAACTTCCAGGGAGCTTCTGTGCTGAATGTTGTGCTGAACCTGGATCTTCTGCTTATTCAGGGAAGGTTATTGTGTGTGCGGTTGGAACTGGGTGATCTTAAGGTCCTTTCCAACCCAAACCACTCTAGGATTCTAAGAAAAGCAAAACATCTAAATACTGATAAACTGTCTTCTACAGAAGAGGGCTGAGTAAAGGAAAGCCTTGATAAAACCATTCCTCCCAAGGAAACATCACTTGGATTCAGCTGGTTTAGAACCCTGGAGCAACAAGCACAAGCTGTGGTTATGCCCTATGGCTGGTACATGCCAGTGAGCCATCCTAGTGTTTCAAAGGACTCCACTGGAACTCCAGAGCTGGCACATGGGATGGGAGGACTGCTCCCAGAGGTGTCCTCTGCTCCCTGCAAGCCCCTCAGCACCCTTCAGCTGCCAGCACCACCCTCCCAAGGGCAGTTTCTACGTTGGATCTACCAAAGAGGAAGAAAAGCAGCAGACATAGGAGTTAAGCACCAATTCCCAACAGCTCAACACGAATATTGAGCTGGTTTTATGTAGCTGAAGCCCACCTCCTGGTGCTCTACCAGTGCTGAGGCAAGTCACCTCACCAAGGACTGCCAGGGAGACTTTAAGGGAGCACTTAGCTCTGTGTCCATGACATTCACATCTACCTGAATGCTCTAATGCTAAAAATCACAGTTTGTATTGGTGATATTAATGGACATTTACAAGTTGCATGGCAAATCCTCACTTGTTTGGGTCTCACATCAACAACAATCACAGCAACTACAAATCCTGCGCCCCATCTCTAAGCTTCTCCCCATCAGACAACCATGTCAAACAACTGCTTTATGTGCTCATCACTAAAAAATGAGGAAAAGCAGCAATAAATTATGTATTTGCACTAGTGAGTTTCCCTGAGCAGAGAAGCTGCTACAACCCAGTGCATCAATTTTAGCATGTCCAAGGCTATTTTTATACATGCTACAAGATGAGGGATGATGGTGTTGAGCTCTATCTTCTCCTTGGCACGCAAGCTTGGGAAGAGACAGCAGAGGCAGGACTCTGGGGTATATGGAACACAAGACATGTTGCAAGCACTTAAAGCTCCTTCCAGATTATCTTCAGGGCCTATACCTGGCTGTCAAGAGGGAAATGATGGAGCAGACTATCCCATTTAGCCTCCCTGAGGGATGTCCTCAGATCTGCCCAAAGCTCCTGCTCTTGCCAGCATCAGTTGATTTGCTTATTTAGGGGTGTATCTTCTTTTATCCCTGTTTCATTAAAGCAGAGAGGACACCCAAAGTGTCCCTTGTGTTTGCCCCAGGGATTTTATCTGACAAACCCTTCTGCCTGGAAGTGTCTTCATAAGGAACAAGCAGCAGTGGACTTCAGGACACTGAGCAGGCCAGACCTGCAGGGTGGTTTTCATGCTCCTGTCATGCAGCTGTCAGAGAAGCCAAGCAAAGTGGGCTGAATAACTCAGCCTTTAAATCACAGCTTTGCCTGGCCTCATTTGGTGTTCCACCCACAAACAAATTGCTGCTGCTGAAGAGTCATTCTGCATCAGAACAGAGTGACTTGAGGTTTAACCACTCAGAGTGATGTGGCAGAGCTGATGGAAGGCCTCTGTCACCAAATCCCATTTCTTCCTGGGATACCTGAGCTCTCCAAACACAATGCTGGTAGGAAAGCTGCTATCCCACCTCACACCGAGAAGACTATGGGATTGTGTGGCTCATGGAGGCTGTACTTGTTGAACTACAAACCCTTCTGGCAGGGCTCCCGTGGGCAAACAAGCCTTATGGTTATTGAGTAACAGAAACAAGAATCAAGCAGTCATGGCCCCTTAAAAACTTAGTGGAAGCCTAAATGCAGGCCAAAGGCTGTAGATTTCCCACCACTACATGAAATGCTGATTGTGTTCACTGGATCAGGGGGCAACTGAAGTCCATGGCTTTGCCACAGGCTGTCACATAAAGGAATTCCAGACTGGTTTGGGTTGGAAAGGACCTTAAAGCAACCCCTGCCATGGGCAGGGACCCCTTCCACTGGAGCAGCTTGCTCCAAGCCCCTGTGTCCAACCTGGCCTTGAGCACTGCCAGGGATGGGGCAGCCACAGCTTCTCTGGGCACCCTGTGCCAGCGCCTCAGCACCCTCACAGGGAAGAGCTTCTGCCTAAGAGCTCAGCTCAGTCTCCCCTCGGGCAGGTTCAAGCCATTCCCCTTGGCCTGTCCCTACAGGCCCTTGTCCCAAGCCCCTCTCCAGCTTTCCTGCAGCCCCTTTAGGCACTGGAGCTGCTCTAAGGTCTCCCCTTCAGGAGCCTTCTCTTCTCCAGGCTGCCCCAGCCCAGCTCTCTCAGGCTGTGAGAACTGGTTCCCTGCTCCTCTCTGCACGCAGCTGATTCTAGGGAAAGCACAACTTTAAAACACAGTTCTCATTTTTTTATCTTATTTCTTACATTTGCAAGACTCATTTCTCATTTACCAGCTCGCTAGGACTGTCCTATCACTAGGCTTCCCCAAAGTATTTGAGAGTCCTTACTGGGAGCATTGCCTGACCCCAAGGAGGTACTGACTCCATTTCCCAGCCTTGTCTAACATGTCCTTCCAACCCTTCTAGGAGCAGATATGGAGCACCCTCACTGGCTCTGCCAGCACTCACCTGCCCTCACCAGTCACTGTTAATGTTTAGCCTGGGCTCCCCCAGCTGTGTCAAACTAAATACCTGTGGCCACATCCTGCTCACACTGATCACAGGATCAATCATTCCCTTCCTCTTTGAAGGCACATTTGATCCCCTGGATTAAACCCCTCCAATTCTTTCCCTCTGTCTTCTTAAGACCCATCTTCAAGACATTCTGCCTTTCATAGAATGTTTGGCTTGGAAAGGACCTTAAAGCTTACCCAGTTCCAACCCCCTTCCATGGGCAGTGACACCTTCCACTACAGCAAGTTGCTCCAAGCTCTGTTCTTCTTTGTATCTAAACCAAATCTCCCTGTTTCAGTTTGAACCCATCACCCCTTGTTCTATCACTACAGTCCCTGATGAAGAGCCCCTGTCCAGCATCCCTGTAGGTCCCCTTCAGACACTGGAAGCTTCTCTGAGGTCTCCATGAACCCTTCTCTGTTATACTCTAACAGACTTCACTGGTCTCCAGCTTTCTTAAACAGCAGCCCCTGAACTGGGCACAGCACTGGTAAGCCCTGGCTGGACTAGAAGTACCAAGGAATGAATACCTGCCTTTTACCTAAAACTCCTGCTCTGTCACAGTACAAAAGTGCTCTCTGCAACAGCACCACCAGTTCCTTTATTGCTGCTCTCAGACCACTTTCCATGCCACTTTCTATCCCTTAATTGTGCAGGTGGATGATCCCATTTAAGTTCAGCCCTTTTCCCTGTCCCTTCTTCTGTCACATACTTCTTACTCCCATATCTCAAAATCATGTTGAATTCTAACCCAGCCTCCTTGCTTAGGGTCTGCAATGATTTAAACCCCTGCCCCACATACTGCAGTGATTCATCTACCCCTTACTTCAGACTACCCTGTATAAAATGGATTAGACCTTTGTAATGGGAAGGAATGGGCACTGACACACAAACAGGTGGCAAAGACAGCTCTCACTCCCCCAGGGTGGAATCACAGCAACACCATTCACACCACAATGTGCCATTAATGCCCCTACCTTTAATTTTCTGTTTGTACTCTTCTGGTCGGTGGAGGTACATGGCTGCAGCATCACCATTTAGAGGATCTATAGGGTTGGGATAGGCCAGCAGCTGGGGCAGGAACGATTCAAATATATTGGTGAGATCTGCAAGAAGACACAGACACAGCCTCAGAGTAAGCCTCATCCATCAGCCTGCACTGACACAGCAGCACAAAGCTGCAAGCACACTGAAAAGCTGGGCACAAGTCAGAATGAAAGGAAATGGTTTTGGAAAGCACAGACATGGCTGGTAAGAGAGCTGCTGCTGCTGGAGGAATGCTGCAGCTCCTCAGCTAACTGCACCAAACTCAGCATCCCAACAATGGAGATACAGAATCCCAGACTGGTCTGGGCTGGAAAGGACCTTAAGCTCATCCAGTTCCAACCCCTGCCATGGGCAAGGACCCCTTCCACTAGAGCAGCTTGCTCCAAGCCCCTGTGTCCAACCTGGCCTTGAACACTGCCAGGGATGGGGCAGCCACAGCTTCTCTGGGCACCCTGTGCCAGCGCCTCAGCACCCTCACAGGGAAGAGCTTCTGCCTTATCTCCAACCTGAACTTCCCCTGTTTCAGTTTGAACCCATCACCCCTTGTCCTATCACTGCAGTCCCTGATGAAGAGCCCCTCTCCAGCATCCTTGTAGCCCCCTTCAGATACTGGAAGGCTGCTATGAGGTCAATGTAGATATTTAGGGGTTAAGCAAAGAAGCAGAAGGGCACAACTGTGTCCTGCTTTTCCATTGAAGCTCAGTCCTAGCTTTAAAAATGGTAAAAGTTCAGAAAAGCAGTGCTGTGCTTCATCCCTCATTGAAGTCTTCTGCTTCTATTAAGTTTTTACGTGCCTTCTGCACCACTGATGTACTGATGACTAAATCGATGTATCCTGAGCACAAAGCATCTTCCAGAGTGCTTTAGATAATTGTGTTAATAGAAAGAGCAACCAACAAGTCCCTCCCCCAACTCAAAACAATTGTCAGAATGTGAAGCTCACATTAACACCTTGGTGCCAGTTGGCACCAGTCACTAAATAATCCACAGCAGGAAACCTACTTCTGGTGCTGAGTAACTGTGGATACGTGAAACCCTCTTCCCATATCCCTAAGACAAGAAGGGCCACACTTGAGTCATGGGGGTGTTCAGAAAGAAGCCCTGCATCATCATTCCTCTTAGGGCCTTCAGGAGGACCACAGGCACCCACACGGAGCTGAGATTAAACCCCCAGAGCAGGGCTGTGGGCCAGGTTTCCCTTTAGCTTCTGGATAACTGCTGATGGAGACAGAGCAGCTTCTGTTGTATGGGGTTTTCTAATGGATTTCATTGATATTCTACACATCTTGTGTCAGGATTCCCCCTTTCCTCCCTAATTAAAGAGTCTTTTATGGTAGCAGAGAAACCCTGCTTTGGATGAGCACCACAAGTCCCATCCAGCATGAATCTAAAGGGACTTATCAGAAGGGAAGCCCAACACCACCCAGGATCCACTATGTGAGCAGCTGAGCCATCTCAACCTACCTGTGACAGGAACAAGGCTGTGTGACTATTCCCAAGCCCAGACAATGCTGAGCTCCTGGAGCTGCTAAATTCAAGCAGCTGTGATGGTGAGCAGGGATCTCAGAGCCATTAACATTCAAAAGGAGTCAGCACAAAGGGGTGGGCAGTTGATGGGGAGAGATGCATGTAGCCTAGCTCTGGGCTGCAGTCATAGAAAACCAGGCTCTAACTCCATCACCAGTGAAGATACAGCCTCAGAAGAGCTGCACAGTAAGTCCAGACAGATCTTTGCTATTGCCCCATGTTACCACCTCTAGAGATCTACCAAAGGATGTGGTTATTTCATCTTACTTAAGAGGATCAAAGGAGACTTGATGTTTTCTGAGTTCCTCCCTCCTCCATCAACACATGTAGGGTGTACAGACACTGTGCTATGACTACTTCAGTCACCCACTCAGCATCAACTCTGCTGAGCAGGAGGAAAGGCCATGGCTTTATGTACTCAGGAGCATGCATCACCCAGTTCCAAGAAGTAATGACACTGATTGCTATGGAGAGAGATCAGCTGGTCTCCACTATACAGGTACACCACTAAGAAATCAGGCCATTTTACCCTGAAATCTCTGCTATATATAAACTGTTGCCCATCCAATATTGGCTAAGGACAGTGATGAAGCACTTCAGAGCACACATTCTACAATGAAGCACAACAGCAACTGTAAGAAGGATCCTAATGCAAAAAAGGAGCCTCAAAAAATGGGAGTATACTCTGTAAGAACATTTTGTGCTCTGGCAGTGGCTTGCCCTTGGTAAATCAGTTAAGCCTCCTAGGATTGGGTTCAGACACTGTCAGAAAGAAGTTGACTTCAGTTTGTGAAAGCACCTGCTTTGGGACAAGCCTCTGCCCAGAGCAGGCTTAAATCAAGTACTTCTTTGTGGCCATTAGACAGCTAAGATCTCATATAGGCTGAGCAAGCAAAGCCCTGGAAGGACATCACAGTTCACAGGACACATTGCATGGATTTTATGAGACTTTATAATTAAATCCCCCAAAGTAGCATTGGCTTAGCAGGAACGAGTCAAACACATGTAGGAAGCCCAGCCAGAGGACTAAGGACTTCATTAGGGAAGTACAGAGGATCTAACCATGAGGTCCTCATGAATTCATTAGTGGTTATTCTGGGTCTCTCCCATCTTAACTGCTCCTTGAATTATCTGACCTGCATCCTCTGCAAGCACAGGAGTGCTCTGTTTTGAAGGGGTGACTCTCCAAAACAGAGCTGTGCTGAGAGGCACTAGGGAATATTATTTTCCCCTTCTCAATGAGGGTGATAAAACACTGGTACAGGTTGCCCGGAGAAATCAACTCCATCCATGGAGACATTCAAGGCCAGGCTGAATGTGGTTCTGAGCAACCTGATCTAGTTGAAGACTGCAGGGACTGGACTAGATGAGCTCTGAGGGTTCCTACAACCCAAACTATTCTACAATTTTCATTTCATGTTCAGAAATGGGCCATTTCCTTACATCACATAAGGATGCAAACCCCTGGGAGTGAAGAGATGATATAGGTACTCTAGCGTCAATGTCTTCCAAGAGCAGGGGCAGAGAGAATGCAGTCGCCCCTGTGTCCCCCCTGCAGCTTCAAGGCATCCTGCAGCAAGGCAAGGGATGTTTGCAATGAGATGACTGGCAAGTGATGCACTTTCTAATGCCATGTTTCACCAGCTGCTTTGGAAAGCGCTCTCTACCTTCAAGCTGCCTAACACCTATCACAGGGAGAAATGTAGGAGGGTTTTGCAGGCTAGCTGATATGAATACATCCCAAGCACAGCAAATATCAAACTGTTTTCTTCTACCTTTATGAGCAATGATGACAGAAATACAGTAGCACTCATTAGGAAACCTCTCATAGGAAGCCTTCCTATGGAACTGTTTGGCAATAGCCAGAAACCCCACTGCGGCCTTCTGTGAGAGCATGCAGCAGCACAGGGAGGTTATCCATGCATGGCTTCCAAAGAAGAACCCAACTGAGCACAAAACCAGCATCACACTGGTTGTACTGGGGTGATTTTGTTTTGTCCAGCCATTCCCATGCTGTGCAGGTGGCATTTAAGGCTGTGGAACAGCAGCACAAGCTGCAGTGAGCTGGGTTCATGCAGGTTCACCCCTAGCAGAGGGCTTGGTTTGCTAACAACTGCCTCAGGCCCTTCCAGGACACAAGAGCATCCTCTTCATCCATTAGCAACACCACCAGGGTCATGGCTAAGCTGGTCTCTCATAACAAACCCATGTGAAGTGTGTGCCCTGCATCTACCACATGAGGACTTCAGGCATTCAGATGAGGAGTAAAGTTCAACAAGTTGCTATAGCAATTTCTCACCCAGGATTCACCAAGTCTGGTATTCCCTTACAAACTGTGCTGGTGAGGAAGGAAAAGCAGCTTGTCTCTCTAGCAACTGCTTCAAAGCTTCAACGAACATAGGTAAAATCAGCTTTTCATGGAAGAAAGGGAAGGATTTTACGTGCTTATTCCCCAAATACTCTTCCACAAAGCGTAACTGGAACATCTGAAGAAGTTCACATTTAAATGAAGCCAACCTAGGGTAGATACGCAGCTGTACTCCCTTGAACAAATCCAGCTTGCCCTAAATGCTGTTTTAATGGGCCTTCAGCTACCAACTGGTCTTTTTATGTCTCTAAAAAGGAGAGTTATAACCAGAAATGACCCAATGGGAAACCCAAAACATCCTGCAGCAAACAGTGCAGTCATGAGATGCAATCCCACATCTCAGCCTGCAAGGAAACGATGCTGCCATCGCAAACAGGAATGGTTTTTGGTGCCAGCTTTTGCACAAGTAGAATCATAGCCTTGTGCAAAGAATGCCAGCTCGAATGCATGTGCAAAACATGGATGGGGGAGCTGGAACTAGGTTTACTTTAGATGCAGTCATTCTTTCAATGCTGAATCATGGTGGGGTGTAGTTGCCAGACAATGCCAAGCAATGGACTGAGCAATCCTTGGTGAGGCTTATGGAATATTTTTGCCTTTCTAGCATAAAAACAGTTTACAAAAGTACCACCAAACGAAAACCTTCTTTTTCAGGAGATCTAGACTCAGTGAGGAGCCTAAAACTCAAGTAAAAACCCCCAGCAAACCCAAACAACCAAAGCTGGCCTAAGTTCATGTGTCTCCAGCAAGCTGTGTTATGTTAACATGCCAAACATAGATGTTCATGTCAGGTGCTTTCAGGGCAATGCCAAACTCACCGTAGAGAGCTGTCCAAGTTTGATTGATTACATCTAGACATACGGTTCCTGACCTGAAACATACAGAAAGGATGGAATTAAACACAGTCACACTCAGAAATACTCCGGGGTTTTAATACCATCTACCTCCCCCCTTCCCCTGTGCCACTGTTTCAGATAAGCTGTGATTTACTCCTATCTTGTGGTTAAGAGGAGGTGCACCCTTTAAATACATGATGCCAACGAGGAGGGGGACTACAACCTTGAGTTTTCTGTAAGTGAACCCCATTGCAATACAAAGACCATGTCTGCAAGAGAATCTGCAGCATGCAGCTCCCTGCTGTTACCCACGGCCTGACCCACTCCTAAAAGTTAACCTGTGACAACATCCACATCTATCAAATCCCGCAGGCTGGACTCTTAGGTTGATGAAAGCATCATTCAACTCATCAGCATTATTACTGTGAAGCCAAAATGCAGTTACAATTAGGTAACTCCTCAGGAAACCCACACACTGGGGATTTACTTACGCTTCGTCAATGTTGGGATGGAAAATTTTATTCATGAATCCTGCAAAGAAGAAAACAAAGATTTTTTTTCCTTTATTTTTTGTACAGGAGAAGTCTGGAATTCACTGAACAAGGACCCATCTGACTGGTTTCAAAGAGAACCCAGACTTAGCTATATATAGCAAGGTAACCTTTAAAATACACAGGCATCGTTCTGACCCCAGGGGCCTTATCCATCCCATTGAAATTCAGCAGAACCCTCTGCTTCCAGTGCAGCAGCACCACAAAGGCTTTGTGGTTCAGCATTACCTTGAAAAGAGCTGCCCATCAGCACAATGGAGCAACCACATCCAAGGAAGTGGTCTTAAAAGCTGTAAGGATCTTATGAACAAACACTACACACAAAAATGAAGTTTAATATTTGCTTTAAGATGAAAGGGTTGATAATATCTTCCAACATATGAACTTGAAGTTGCACCATTGATCAGAGGATCATGGAATCAAGCAGGTTGGAAAAGCCCTTTAAGCTCATCCAGCCCAGTCGTTCCCAGCACTGCCAAGGCCACCACTGACCCATGGCACTGAGGCCTCGTCTCCACGCTGTGTGAACACTTGCAGGGACGGTGCCTGCAGCCCTGCCCTGGGCAGCCTGTTCCAATGCCTGAGCACCCTCTGGGGCAGGAATTGTTCCTCAGCTCCATCTAAACCTGCCCTGGTGCAACTTGAGGCCGTTTCCTCTTGTCCCATCCCCTGTTCCTTGGGAGCAGAGACCCACCCAGGAGCAGAGAATGAATGCTTCAAGTTTTGCATCAATACAGCAATAAATTCCTCAGTTGGTACCTCTGGTCTCCTACAAAATAGCTCAGATGCAAGGTCTACAACAAGAGAGCTCTCCATGGCTTTGTCCACATTTCAGACTTGTAGATTTGACAGTGCTTTCTCTGTTCTGACTTGCAAATTAAGCTGCTAAATAAATCCTGTGGTTTCGAGATGAACAACATCAGGGCAGAAGATGCCTCACACCTGAAGGACTGTATGTGAAAACAGCAGCTGGGGGTAAACTGTGTCTTCCAGCTGCCTACTTAAACCTCAAGTTCAAGTACGGAAGCCCAAAACCACTCCCCTCTTCTCCCACAAACAGAGCTTATAAAACAAAGACACTCAAGGAGTTAAAACACACCACGCTTGGCTCCACAGACTGTGTAGAGGTAAAGCACATCCACCCCAAAAGCAAAGCTCAGTGTTTCAGATGATGCAGAATCTGGCTTCCAAACTCTTCCCTTTCCTTTCAGTAGGAGGAACTTAAATAGCTGGGTGCAGGACACATCCCCAGTGCAGAACTGACATGCAGTAGGGATGGAAAACTGGCTTTTCCAGTTATTTCACTGTCAAACGGATCGAGTATTCCTACACTTCTTGTGGCCAAATCATTTGGGCTCTGCCCAGAAGGGCTGCGGCATCCTTGGATCAGCACCAAGTTCAGCTGCTTCCAGATCCAGAACTTAAAAATAAAACCTTCTTTCCTTTGTTGTACCTCCATTCTGCAGCCTGTAAAGCCCTACAGACATTGTCCACATGGGAACTGTACCTTCCTGCAATAAGGAATAATCTACTTAAGCCAACAGCAACGATTTCTTCTCACAAAGGTCCATGTTTATATAAACGGGTGAGAAATTTAGGTCTGGGATATTGACTCAATCCATTTCCAAAGCTCCTTCCAGGACTCAAAACCACACATAAATCCCTCCAGAAGAAATACATCCCTGTGTATCATCCAGGAAACCCCCTTCCTTTACCCAGCCATTCCAGACGAGACACGGCACCAGCGCTGATGCACCATCTCTGCCCAAACAAGCAGCAATCGTGATTTGAGGAACAGCATGGTTCCCATCTGGGGTAAGAGCTGACATATGGATTTAACTCCCTTTCTTTCCACGTATTATGACACAAATATCATTCCATGTTTACTTGTTCTGCTTGGGTTTTGCATAAATACAACACAGGGCTGAAACGCTGCCCGAAGCCAGAGCAATCTCTAAAGGAACCACCAAAACCTGCATAAACAAACCCATGCTAACAAGTGTCTTTTTACCTTGCCATCATTTAGCTTGAAACACTGAAGCAGGCTCAAAAAAGGAAGTTCCATCAAATATTTACATTATGGCAGCTCTCACAGGTTTAAATCAGGTCATGGATCCATTATGCTGGCACTGGAGAGCTGCAGAGAGCACTGATCCTGATTCTAAATCCTGGCTGTCTCTTAGGGGAGAAAACAGGAAGGAAAAGTTAAGCTTCTGCTAAAGCAGAATAGAAGAGAGGATGGGGGAAGACACCAAGTAGGAATATGATGGTAATGTGTAGACCTGCTGAATTAAACACACTCTCTTCTGATATCTGGAACACAGAGTGTCTGTCTTTAATCCAGCCAGACACAGGCATCGCTCTGCCTTCTCTCATTTTGGGTTTGTGATCACCTCACCTGTTTCTCAGTATCTTCTACCACAGTCACCTGCAGCTGTGCTGCAAACCCACCTGTAAGGTCTGGGTCAGCTCCTCCTTCACACACTTTGGCATGTATGCTGTACTCCATACCCATGGAGAAGAGATTATGTTGTCTGCTTGAGCAGCTCCTGTGCTAGAGATCTGTAATTCTCTCTCTGTGATCTTTGCAACCACCCAAGCAAGGAACAATCCCGTCTTCCATTTGGAAAGCTTAAGACCAATGACAGTGTGAAACAGTTGTTCTTCAAGAGAGAACACAAACATCCTCTCCCTGTACTCCCTATTTCATCGGTTGTTACACCTTGCAACTCTTCAAGGTCCTCCCAGTCTCATTCTCCTACAGATATAAACTGCCCAGGCCAAAAGCAGCTGTTCCTGTTCCTTATCTTTCTTTTTCCTGACCTAGAAATAAGCCCAAACCATTATCTCCTCCTGTATTTGAAGTGTAAAGCTTCCTGCAGCAGTAAGGCGCCAACATCGCTCCAGTAATCCCAGCTTGCTCTGTTATTTAGCTTTACACCCACAAAAGACAAAGCAGCACAAACACCCATGTCAAAATGAAACTCCAATTTAGAGAGGAAGCCAGGAGTAAGGAAAACCAGCACACCCAAGCCAGCATAAACACTGGAGCAGGTTTACTGCCAGTTGTGAACACAGCACGCCCCAGTTAACATGCTGCGTGCAACTCGAGGTGAGTGGTCCATGAGGCATGCCAAGGGACAGGCTCTTGATTTTGGGCTCTCACCATAGCCTGAAGCATGGAGTCAAGGTCACAGCCTCAGCAGTCATGATTCTGTCTGCAGGACTGGTTGTAAACCCTTAATTTAACGTTTCAACCCAGTATTCACACTGAACTGTGGAAAAGTCAAAGCTCAGGAGGAATCTGAGTGGCTGCAGTCCACCCTTTCCATAGAGGCACTGAGCTCCAGGGTTGGTTTTGAAGGTAGAAAGCAAGACTGCCTAAAATCTATATAGACAAAACACCCTGGGGTGATAACAGGGTAAAAAACCCTATACATCCACAAAGGGGTTACACAACAGAGAGGGAAGCACCTGTTCTGATACTGGAAGATGCTGAGGCCAATATGCAGGTGCTGGCCTTCAAACAGGCTGGTATTTCAGCAACAGCCCTGCAGAAATGAGTCCTTGGGTGGACAAAAACCTTTGAATAGTAGTTCTAAATTAAAAATCAGCTCACTGAAAGGCTGTCAATCTGCCTGGTGCTGCAAAAACAGGGACATGCATAAAGCTCCAGCAGCTGCATGTGTTCCAGTGTGAGATGAAGCTTACTGTGCTTACACATCAACCATGGATGGGGCTGAACATCAAGGGCCTTGACCTGTAGCTGAGAATCAGGTCCTGTAGCTGGGTGACAGCTGAACACACCCAGTGAGCAAAACCAGAGCAGAACTAGGGAGGAATTGCAGACTTTGGTGTCAGTGTCTAAGAACCACTTGCAGGGATGGTGACTCCAGCCCTGCCCTGGGCAGCCTGTTCTGATGCCTGAGCACCCTCTGGGGCAGGAATTGTTCCTCAGCTCCATCTAAACCTGCCCTGGTGCAGCTTGAGGCCGGTTCCTCTTGTCCCATCCCTTGTTCCTTGGGAGCAGAGCCCAGCCCCTCCTGGCTCCATCCTCCTGTCAGGCAGTTGGAGGCAGCCATCAGGTCCCCCCTGAGCCTTCTCTTCTCCACACTGAACCCCCCAGGTCCCTCAGCCCTTCCCCATCACCCCTGTGCTCCAGGCCCTGCACCAGCTCCGCTGCCCTTCTCTGGCCCCACTCCAGCACCTCAATGTCTGTCCTGCAGTGAGGGGCCAACTCTTACACAACTCCAGACTAAGACTCCCAAGAAATGGCTTGAAAGCACTTGAGAACCAACCTGCTGTCGTGAGCTGCTTTGCCATCAAGTTTCTCCCTGAGACCAAGAGCCCCAGAATAACCTGGGGAACACAGAGGACTCCCAAGGCACCTCTTGCTGTCCTGTAGTCAGGTTCCCTACCTTGGTACAGCCTCCATGGAATCACAGAATGGTTTGGGTTAGAAGAGACCTTAAAGCTCATCCAGTTCCAACCCTCCTGCCACGGGCAGGGACACCTTCCACTAGAGCAGGTTGTTCATCTTCCATTCAGGCAAAATGAACTCAAAACTTGGATATAAGAGGGATCAAAATCTTGGGCTGGAGACTTCCTACTCGCTCCTTCCACAGCTCCAGCTGCACAACACTGTCCTGCAGCAGTGGAAACCTCTCTGCACTCCTCCATCCTTCTCCAAGTCAGGAGCTTGCTGTGATCCAACAAGCAGCACTTCAGCAGGTGGCCTGGTGCTCATCTTACCCAGCTGAGTTGGTAGGTTAGGGTGAGAAGTCCCCAAAAGGGACATTTTTTCCCTCATCCAAGTGATGCTATTGCTGCTAGTACTGTGGAAGCACGTGGGAGGGAGGGAGGAAAAGCAGCAATCCAGTACATCCCAACTTCCCAGCATTGCCTCTTCTTGCTCAGGGGAGCCAACCCACACCAACAACCAATGCAAGAGGACTTCCCACTGGCTCTGGGGAATGTGGA